TTGGGGAAACAGGAAAATGACGAAATGTACTGTGTTGGGATTCTTTTGTTGCAAGTAGCAGAAAACTCATCCCTAATTAACTTAAGCATAAAGGAAATGTATTGACTTGTGTAAATTAAAAGTCGGGGGTAAGACTCTTGCCATCCTTGCCATGTGATCCCCTGCATTGCCAAGGGACTTTGAAGCATTCCTACCAGAAGAAGCCTCTCACCAGATGCATCCCCTGGACTGTGGACTTCCCAGCCTCCAAAACTACCGGCTCATAACATTCAAACGTGCAATCCAGAACAGCCGCTGGGAGTTGAGCTGGCAGACTGCACTCCACTGTCAAGCTTCTATAAGAATTGACTTAGCTGAAGAGAGTCACCTAGCTCAGGTTCATTACTACTTTTCGAGGCAAACCTTAGTAAATGTCAGAACAATGTNCACCTAGCTCAGGTTCATTACTACTTTTCGAGGCAAACCTTAGTAAATGTCAGAACAATGTGGGGGTATGAACACCCATTTCCCTTGCCCCAACTTGAGACAACTCTAAAAGACCATTTTAACTTTAGAGATCTGCCTGGAGTGGAAAGTTCTTTGAGGCTATAAACTTTAACTTCTTACTCCTAATCCTGCATTCTTCATTTCCCTTCCACAGGTTTTGATGGCATGAACACTCCCTAATAGCTTGGGTGCACACTGAAAAAAAAAAAAAAAGAAAAAGAAAAGAGTCTTCATTAATCCATATTCTGGTCTGACTTGATAGAGGGGTTACAAAACTGTCCTGGGTCCTTGTTCTCTCTGCCTCTCCTCTCTTTTCTGTGTTGTCTTCATTCTCGGATGAGCTTTTCTCCTCTCTCATGGTCACAAGGGTAGCTTTGGACCTCATATTTTCTTGTGTTCATGTCCAGCAGGAAAAGAGAAGGAGAGAGAAATTCTTTTCCCCAACAATAACGCAAAGACTCTCCTGCTGGGTGACATGTTCATCCCAGAACCCATCGCTGTGGTCAGGATGCTGTACTGTGTCATTTAGTTTATGCCCATTGGTGCCCCTCCTAGAGCTGGGGGCAGGTTCAATGCCACTCAGCCCACACTGGCTGAGGATGTGGGAGGGACACCACCAGGCTGCAGGAATAGCCCCTGGGTGGCCAAAATCCCAAACGCTTACTACAGAGGACTCAGTGCCTCTCTTCTTCCACCTTCCTCCCTAGGCAGAAGATCTTTAAGGAGAAGGCCTTGCCAGACATTGAGAACTACATGTTTGAGAACCATGACCAGCTGCGGCAGGCGGCCACCGAGTGCATGTGCAACATGGTGATCAACAAAGAGGTGAGGACGGGGGATAGACGGGGACAGGAGGGATCAAGGCATGGAGAGTCAGACCAGAGGTCAGGCTTGGGGTGAGATTGGGGGCTATTACAATGGTATTAAGGCAGCATTTTGCCTAAATAACCCAGGTATCCCTAAATTTTTCTTAGATTACAGCTCCCCTTCCCTGTAGAGCCCCTGAGAGAAATATTTGCACAAAGTAATATTATCCCAAGCTGAGGCTTTGACCCCAAAGCTTGGGCTGGATGAGGTGGAAGGTAGCATTTCCCTAAGCTACTTAGGCCTTAAATAACTTCAGAGCAAAGCAGGATATGAGACCAGGACCCCTTAAAGGTCAAGAGAGGCTAGACTACTCGCATTTATTTAAGCTCTGCATATGTAAAAACATAAAGAAATGCCACAATACAGTTACAAACCATTTTAGAATATTTTACATGTTAACGTTTAATGAACCATCACTGTTTCCTTAGAAATTGCAAGGCAGGGCCGGCCCTGTGGTGCACTGGAGAGTGCGC